GTGAAAAAATGAATTCAAATCCAGCCTCAGACACTTGTCGGCTATTTGACCTGGGAAAAGTCAATTAACCTCTCTCAGCCTCAATTTCTTCACTGATAAAAAGAAAATAACAAAAACACCTACATCACTATTGTTGTGAGGATCAAATGAGATAACATATATGGTGTTTTGCAATTCTTATAGTGCTATATAAATGCTATCTATTGTTAAACCTACCAGAAACAATGTTCTAGTTTAAATGTTGTCACTATCTGGACAGTATACCAGCACCATGCCAGGAAATGGAATCACTTCCATTTGAATTGTCTTACAAAGATTCTGAAGATCACCTGGCAGGATAAGGTATTGGACACTGAGATCTTTTCTCCAGCTAAACTGCCAAACATTCGAACTCTACTGTAGAGTACAACTCTGATAGGCTTGTCACACTGTTCAAATGCCAAATACACTTGCCTAAAAGACTTTTATAGAGAACTCACACAAGGAAGGCATTCCTGTAGTGGTCAGAAAAAATGATACAAGAACACTTTCAAGTTCTCTCTGCAGAACTTTGGAATTGATTGCATGACATGGGAGACACTGGCAAAGGACTGCCCAGCATGGCATACCAGCATCAAAGAAGGTGCTATGATGTATGAACAAAGCAGAATTGTAGCAGCTCAAAAGAAATGTGAGATGCACAAATTTAGAAAACCTCCTCCAAAATGTTCATATGGACCATTTGTGTCCCACTTGTGGTAGAGCATTCCAAGTTCATATTGGTCTGATCTACCACAGTCAGACACACTGTAACTTAACTCTAATATAATGATGTCATTTTGGTCCTCTGAGAACGAAGGACAACAACCAATTAACTGCATGACCTTAAGAAAGTTACTTATAACCACTCTGAGCTTTGGGTTTCCTCATCTCTAAGACTGGTCCCTTATATTTAGAAATTCTTAGCTCTTAGAGTGTAATTCTTACCTATACACACTTGTGATTTCAGAATCCAGGATTAGCTGAAATGCCACTATCCATAGTTGATTTATCTCCAGAAAATTTAAAAAGATAAAATGAAGAAATGATTTAAGTGACTTATTCCATATCTTTTGAAGAGAAAGAAGATGCCAAATCTCTATTCAATCAATTTAGTTATTTCGTTTGGATCAGTGATTTCATTGGCATAGGAAACTTCCAACATAGAAACTACCCTGAGACATGGAGATCAGAAGCCTGTCTGTAATACAGAGTCTTAGAAAGTTGCCTAAAAGCATTAAGAGCTTCACAGGATCAGAGGTAGGGCTGGAAGGGATCTAGAGACCATCCAGTCTCTAGAGACCAACCCTCTCATTTTATAGCTGAAGAAAGTAAAGTTCAGAGTCTAAGATCATACAAGAAGTGAGTAGCAGAGTCTGGATTTGAACTCAGGTCCTCTGACTCCAAGCTCAGCACTCTATCTAGTATACCATGACATCTGGGTGATGACACAGCTAATATGTGCAAGGAGCAGAGCTTGAATCAGGTCTTCATTACTTTAAGACTGGCCTTCTGTCTGTTATGCCACCAGCCTCTCCAAATTACTAAATAATGAAAATATCAGAAAAAAAAAACCAAGAACATTCATTGAGGAATTCTTATTTCTTTAAAACTTACTTTGTTCATCCTATTAGACAGTAAAAGTCTTGACTTTCAAGGAGGGGAAATAGGCAAGTGGGCCACCTTGTTCAAAGTTTTAATTAGAGAGACTCATTATTTAAGTGTGTTAGCTTTTAAGTGGTCTCCTCAGGCTATGAAATTAATACCTCATTGGAGTGTATGAAATTAAAATTACCATTTCAATATGGAAGAATTAAGATATCAGAATGCAGAGAACTTATTCAAAAATGAACAGTTTCCACTTGAGTCATAGCCTGGCAGAAGCAATATTTAATACTCTAGCTCTCTTCTGGAGTCAACAAGGTGGCACAGTGGATAGAATGCTGGGCCAGGAATCAGGAAGATCTAAATTCAAATATGGCCTCAGACACTTACTAGCTGTGTGACCTTGAGCAAGTCACTTAACCTTTGTTTTTCTCAGTTTCCTCAACTGTAAAATGGGGATAATAACAGCAAGGCTACTCCTCACAGGGTTGTTATGATCAAATGAGATAATATTTGTAAAATTAGCATTGTGCCTAAAACACAGGAGGCGCAGAGTTCATAAATGCTTATTCCCTTTCCTTCCTATTAACACTAAAAGGGCCACTTCAAAAAACAAATAAACATAAGCATGTTAACTTTAAATCTTTATAAGCATGGAAAAGATTCCAATCCTATCACTATTTTTCATATGAAAATATTGTATTTGTACTTAGTAGCCACTTAGTAGGAAATGAAGCTATGATTCATAGTTATACAATCATCACACATTGTAATAAAATGTTTGTTCACATAAATTAAAAAAATTTTAGGTTAAATTATTTATCACTAAGATCACTGCTGTAGTATAAACATTTCTTATGGCTTCCTCTCCCACCCAACCCCAGTCTCTCCAACAATTTTTTTGTTGAATTTCCCCACATTTCCAATATTACCCATCCAAAGAGTGCAAACAATTTCAGACAAAGCCAATTCTGAGACCCATTGTCAAATTTCAATTTATTTAATTTTACCACCTTTGACATTGCTTGATTTTCTCCTCCTCTAATTGCTTTTCTTACCTAATCTTGGGGTCAATAAAATAATTTATTCCAATCATAGGCAATCAAAGTGCTTTAAAATACACTGTCCTTACTAAAAATAAAACTTACAGCTATCCCTCAGTTGTAAAGAACATGCCCATACAGTAATGCTTCAATTACTGATATATTACTGAATAATGTACATTAAGATTGAAATAATTTTTTAAAAAAACATACCTACATCCTTAGAAAAAATCAGTTGACTAAATGGAGTGCTCTCAAAAATAATTTCAATCAGATCAAATTAATCTGACATAACTTTCTACCTCTCTGATCACTTATTACTAGCCTTTTGTAATGACATCTTTGATTAATCAAATCCAACAATCATTTTTAAGTACTTTCTATGGGCCAGGCACTGTTAGGCCCTAGTGATACAAAGACAAAAATTTAAAACAGTCCCTACTCCTGAAGAACTTATATTCCCCCCTTTATCCCATTCTATTAATCCTATACATCAATTATGGATTCATTCATTTCTTTCTTCAATAAATATTTATTAAGGGACTACAGTGTACTGTGCCATGCACTGGAGGCTCAGTTCTAAGTTCTATGATGTGTACACACACACATTCTTATCAACCATGACCACAGTTTCCAAATCATGTGAGGGAAGTGAAATGTACAAGTGTACAATTTTGATTATTCCAATCAGCTCTCCAAGCCGTTTCCCACAGGGCTTCACTGGACTAATAGGTTACATGCTTTAGGCATATCATAGGTTTAATATGATTCAAGGTGTATATATATATGCATATATATGTTATACATATACATATGTATAACATATGTGTTATATATACATATATATGTTATATATACACATCCTATTTTTCTCCTATCCAACTTTTCATTTATCCTGTTCATTTTTGTTGTTGTTACTAACATAGGATAGGAACTAATACTGTGATTTCATTAATCTAGGGAACTCCCAGGAGATACTTCCTCTAACAATGCAGGTCAGCACTTTCTCTGCAGTTTATAGTTTTAGAGAGTTCCTAAAGAACTGTGAGATTAAAAGTCTTGCCCAGGTTAGGCAAATAGTAAGAGTCATAGTCAAGACCCAGATTTTCTGGCTGACTTCTCTATCCTTCATGCTGCATCTCTTATTGAAAATTAAGTTATAAAAATGGATAATTATTATCAAAGAATGTGAATGTATTAATGGAAAAATGGAAACTAAGGATGATCATGTAGCAGGCACAGGAAAAATAGTCAACCATGAATTCTAGCTCTTCAAAAATAAGTTTAATAATGCAAGATCAATATAATATTCTCTAACACCATGCTAAAACATTGCTGCTAAATTGAAGAGGCTTTATTATTATAATTATTATTATTACAGGATATAATTTGGCAGTTATTAAAAATATTTACTTGAAAGGAACTCCAAATATATCATTTTAGAAACAATATTTTAAAATCTAGCAAAAAGCAACAGAAACTATTGTTATTTATATATTTTTGGCATAACACTGCCATACAGTTACAAAATTATAAAATAAGCATTTTATAGTACCATACAGATCCAGAAACTGGTTACAACTTCTACCACATATATATGGTATTGGTGCTAACAAACATGCATGGCATTATGTAATTTTATGCTGCAGGAGAATACAGAGTACAGAACAGGCCCATCAGCTGCAACACATTTGCCACTGTAAAATCAAAATGTGTGCATTTAAAAAAAATTATACCACCATTTTTTCCTTGAAATACATAAATATGACATAGTACCATTTCCAAAATGGAACAGTAAATTGATTTTAGTTTGTCATTTATTTCATTAGGGAACACCCTTCTTTGAAATCAGTTGAAGGGTATAAGTAATTTGTCCTCATTTACACCCTGAATTTTGATAGTAAACACAAGTTAGATTTGTTCATTTTTTATGCATTCGACTCACAGAAGTGTGGGGGATAATTGTCTCCAACAAGCGCTGTGCTTAGGAGCACAGGCCTTAGGGCTAGAAGAGGCCTTAGAGGTTGTCTAGTTTAACCTTCTTTTTTACCAATGAGGAAACTGAGGCCCAGAGAGGTTAAGAGATTTACTCAATTAAGTTCTAGAATTCAAAACCAGTCTACTACATCAGACTCGATTCTTCCACCTTTCCGTCAACAGTCTTGTCTATAGAAATATATGGTAATACCTAAGCCAGTTTGTTGGCATAGGAAAAGAGAAATGAAACTTGTCTTACTGAAGCTGGTTACTTAATAGCAGTAAGCAGGGCCTGAGGAGGGGTGGGGCACGTTTAACACGATGAGACTATAAATCTCTATTTCCATGATTTCCCAGACCAATCTCACCACAATTAGTAACATCCTGCCTTGAAGAACATTACTCAAGAACTACACCGTGGATGAAGATTTTCCAGATTATCCTCTTCTAATCCTAATAAAGGCAGTAATTGCTTCCAAGCACATGATTGGTTATGATGGTTAAGTGTGTTTCTATATTGGGCTTGTTTCTGTTCCTTAGAGAACCACAGAATCTCAGACTGGGAAAGCATTGAGGCCATCTACTCCAAAGACTTTCAGGTGCAAGAATCCCTCTGCAAATATCCAACAATTGGTCATTTGAACTTTGCTGGAAGAACTTTCCAGAGGAAAAACCCTTTAAGTCCTGGGGAAGTCCATTCAATTTTGGGGTAGTTCTTGTTGTTAGAAAGTTGCTGGGCTTTTTTTTGTTGGTTTTAAAAATGTCAAGCATATATTTGACTTGGTCATTTCCACTCATTGTTCTGACTCTGGTCTTCTGAGACCAAATGAAACAATTCTAACCCTGTTCCATATCCCAATCTTTTAAATAATTAAATAAATGCAACCACTTCTCCAGGTCCCAGCACCACCCATACACAAGCAAGTCTTTCCATAGCAGGGATTCTTAACCTGGTGCCTGTGGACCCTCAAGGAGTCTGTGGATTTCAGGGGGTCTGTGAACTTGGATTGTTAAAAAAAAAAATCTTTTTTCTAATGTCTAATAAAAATTTAACATTTCCTTCAACACCTTTTATGAGAAGGGATCCACTGACTTTACCAGACTGACAAAGGAGTCTGTCTCTGTCTCTGTCTCTGTCTCTCTCTCACACACACACACACACACACACACACACACACACACACATTAAGAGCTCTAGTTCAAGAACAATGATATTAGAGAGACAAAACCTGGATATGCCTCTCAGTTCTGATACTTTTTAGCTTTGTGTTTGTAGGAAAATCACTTAACTTCTATGGACCTCAGTTTCTTGATGAGGAAAATCATATTACTTACCTTACAGGACCGATGTGTTGAAAGTAGGTTGTAAACCTTAAAAGTTTATATAAATATGAATTAATTTTTCAATATTTAGTAGTTTCTTTCCCCTCCCCTCTCCGTTAGATTGTAAATTCTGTAAGTACCCAATAAATCCCAAATGACTAATTCAACCCACTCTGGAAAAACTAGAAGGTTTCCTGGGGACAAAGGCTTATGAAAGTAATACTGCTTTGTTAAAGGTCTTGCAAACCATCTTCCTTGTATTAACACTACCCTTTCCATAATTTTAAGAATGAAGATGCAATGAATAAATCAAGGTTTAAATATATTCCTTAAAGCATTCTGCTTAAATGCTGAGAACTCATGGCAATTGCAACCTTTGCCCTTCCACTTCTATTTTTAAAGCACACTGAATTCTTTTACTGAATTTTTAAAAACTGCAATAAGACTGCCAAAATAGCTTCTGACTCAGAAGCCAAAAAAAAAATTATAGGGCAATGTATTTCCCAGAGAATAATTATCTACATGCAATTTTAATTTGTATAACACGAGTCAAGTTGATCTCAGAATACTATGCAATGAAAAGATGCCAACCAACTGCTTATCATATACATGGTATAAGGACATTCATTTCAATTGAGCCAAAACTGTGTTGTCTTATGGAGAATGAAATGTACATATGAAATCTGCAGTTTTAATGGGATGATTTTAACTTAGGAACACACACATTTTCAGCATCTTGTGTATACTCTACTAAAATAATTCCTTACGAAAAAAAAAGTCAACAAGCCAGAAAGAAAACAGAGATATTAGTATTTCTTTTATTGATAGTATTATCATTATCTTGGAAAGCAGGACTCAATCATGCAATCATAATTTGTCAAAGCAGTTGTGAAAGTAGTTTTTAAATGCCTTGAACAATTTCTTAGAGTCAAACTTCTAACATGTTAGTCAAAAGGGCTTTCCTTCCCTACTTCCATATGCCATTTACATCAGCACGTACAAAAACATGATATTTCATATTTATCTAAGATAGGTGTTGAAAGCTAAAAATAAAATATACTAATTAATAGAAAGCAAAAATAGTTTTTAACACACTAAATAGTTTATGCTTTTTATTCCAAACACTTTCTCCAAAACAACATATTTATTTAATTTTATGGAAAATACATTTAATTCCCCTTTCCCTCTTTGGATGAACGCAAGTCTCACCAAGAGGCCATTTTTCCAAAAGAAAAAAAAAAGAACATTAACTTGCATGGAAACCAATTTCATTCATGATATTAAATATTATGATTTTATATCATGTTATGGTTTCTTATAATTTTTAAAGAAATGAAAGTGTCAGCTTCTTAATGAAAACTGCTTATACTATTGTAAGGCACATCTGGAAACCTCTAGGAATACTTACTTATAAGCAAATCATTACTAGCTGCAATCACATGTGGTTTTTAAAAACAGAATATTCCTGTATACATTTTGCTGAGTAGGTGGGATATTCAGAATTGGGAAAGAACAGGCAGACAAAACCTCACTGTCACCCCAGAAATTACCCACACAGATCAGTTAGTGCAATAAGCAGTATAGAATTATAAGTTGAAAGAAGAATGAGTAAATAAACATATGTTCTCTTGTTTTGGGGTTCCCAGATTTTTTTGTGTTACACTGACAGCCATCTTTCTCTACAACTACAACTGCAGTCTGAAATATTAGTCACCCTAGCTTTAATGATCTTCCAAGGTGGCATCCTGGATCTATCTCCTTGGCTGGACTTTAAATATTACTGTGTTTATAACTTCTTCTACCATAGTATTTAGATCTTGCTCTGGTAGAAGTTAGAGTGCTTACTTTCAACCTGGACTTTGCCTAATGACTGCATCTATTGTCAAATTTGGAGAGGTGTTATTACTAGAACTAAGTAGGAACTTCCCCCTAGGAGAGGGGAGGCCTAATAAAGTAGCTACAGATGTAGTCAGCAACCAAGACAATGCAAAACAGAACAGCTCATATTGTCCTTTTTTCTGGGGTGGGAAGGAATATATGAAAATGCTTAAAAATGTGGTGTCTGATTTGCTAGATTTAGTTACTGGGGATTAGATAAGTCAATTATTAGAAATTTTAACAGCCAAATTTGATTTTTAAAGAAACAATAAATTGTCTTTTATCAATTTTGATATTAAAATGAAGCTTCCTCTTACTGAACTTATTAAAGCAATGCATACATAATATGCTACACAACTTCTATTCCCAACTACCCCTCCAAAAAAATCAGACTGCTATTCAGAAAAGAGCTTAACGAAGAATACATATTTCTGCCCAACAAAATCTGAATCCATGATGACTAATAAAAAGGCTAACTGGAAGCCTCCCTACTTGGCAAAAAAGGTTATTTAGAATCTCCCTAATTATTGTGTTAGTCTGTGGTCACAGAGTTTGTTTTCTTCCATAGGCTTTAAAAAAAAGTGACTTCAAATCATGAATTGAAAATGGAGTTAAAGTATTTTTTGAAGTACATAATACACTTGATTGAGAGAAAACTGACATTTCCACTTAAATCTCTAATCAAATTCCTTGGAGCTTTTTTATGGGAACAATCACCAGAACTGTATGGTGAATAGCAAAATTGTTTAATGGTATAGATTTTTTCATTTCCAGTACAAAAAAAGTGAAATGGCAAATTATTAGAAACATCCTAGAATAATCCATGCAGCATTACATTTATTTGCCGTGAAATACAAGTTACCATTATATCAATAACTGACTGCATACCCTTGTAGCCTCAGGTACAGGATAAGGAATATATATCACAAAGGCTCAATAATGTTTCTGGCACTTTAGACACGCTTCACTGAATTTTTGGTAATAATAGCTTTTCAATATGCCTTAGTAATCACAACAATAGTTGTATGTGTGTATTTTAATATAAGATGACAAAACCAGACCTACAGGGCTGATTCCTGTTTCAAAAACATAGAAATGCATTTTCTGCATACCTTATAAAACAAGCTACTAAATTCACAGAGTATTCTTGATAGAAAAACAAATACAAGATATTTGGCACTTTGTGCAGCTGCAAAAAGGATTATATTTTCTCACTAGCCTTTATTCTCCTCTCAAAAACCCTCTTTTACCTTAACTACATTTCAAAAAGCCTCTAGCATGAGGAAGACCAGAATCCATGTGGAAGAAACTCAGTTTTCTCTGTAGGACTATGTATTAGAAAATTTCATGAAACAAGTTAGACAATATCATATACAAGAAAAGGAACTCTTAATTAGAAAAATATTTTTAAAGAGTAATGGACAATGCTGGACTTGGAATCAGGAGAGACTTAGGCCTGAATCCTGCCTCTGATATTTTCTACCTGTGTGACTATGGACAAGTCATTTACTCCCTGGGAGCTTTATTTTCCTCATCTGTAAAATGGGAATATCATACCTGTAGTTACCTAATTCACTAGGTTGTTATTGGGACCAAATGAGATAATATACTGTAAAGCGCCATATAAATGTCAACTATTATTATTATTGCCATGGACAATCTAGACTCCGTTTCCACCTCAATGAGTTATGATATGCTATAATTACTAAATAAAAGGTTATATTCTATTAAACAATTATTTAATAACTTTGCTCTGATTACTAATATTAGCTGTTTACTTAATATTCTGAGAACACAGCTATGAGCACTGAGTACAGAAACACATGTCTGAAATGCAAAGGTACTTTCAACAATTGAATAAATCTATTATTTTTAATAAGCTCTTAAAGATTATTCATTGTCAACATTGTCCTTTTCTTATCTATCATCAAACAACCAATCAAATGTGGGAGCCTCTCTTCTCCCCCAACTCACATCATACAGCATTTATGAGGTACCCACAAAGGCATGGTGCTATGCTAGGCACCACACGTTATTCTACATATTTCCTGCATAGAATCAAGAAAGGGATATGTAAAAGCTCAATATAACCATAGAACCATTGCATAAAGAGAAAGCAAAAATAGGCACTTTACAAAATTTAAACTAATTAAACTTGTACTTATTATCATGACAAAGAAATGATACTTATTATCATGACAAATAATTATCACCATTCATGTTTCAGAAAACTATGACATCATTCATTGATATAGCCATTGATATGGGATTTCATTTTGTGTAAAAATTCACAATTAAACTTCAAAAAAAATCAAACGGAGTAACAAACATATCTCTAATAATCTATTGAACTTGGGAGCTATGTGGGGTAGGGAAGCAATGGCTGGATATTTTCTAAGACCTCTAAAATATAACACTGAAAGATAGTAGATCAACAAAAACACGTGCAATGTAATTCAAAATAGAATTTTTCTGGATTTACAACTTTCAAAATGCCCCTAGCAAAAAAAAAAAAGTAAAGCAAAATAAGGAAAACAGCTTCTTCCCAAAAGAAATGAACAAAAATACTGTACCTATTGATAAGAGTAAGTTCAAGGTGCATGCTATAAAATTCTTACTAAAATGATTATGATTCCTCCTTTTCTACAAGTAACCCAATTAAAAATAAGTCATACAGAGTTTTGAAAGTTAAGATATGTATATTAAAACCCCCATGAAAAGCCCACTTCAATGACTTCCTGTGATATTTGGGTAAGTTACCCTTACATCTTCAAAGGCTATGCAAGTATAGCACAATTTCTGGCAGATCCTTGAAGGCAAGCTTGAAGACTTCACATATGGCCATGTGTATTGTGTCTGTCGTGTGAGAACTAGCCTAAGTTTGGGGAGGCTTATCACTAGAATGTTGGCCATCGTGATTTTTTTTTAATCTACAGCAAGTCGTGGAACTATCTACTAAGGTTAGCAACCTGCATTGATGACATAAATGCCTGCAGAGACGAAATCTCGGATGGTTTGGTTTCCTACATTCAAAGTATTCAAAGTATTACCAAGTGTAATGAATTTCAACCTTTTTTTTCAATTTCAAAGCCTAGCACTTTAGAAAGGGGAATCATACAGTCCTTTTTTATTCATTATATAGAGGACCACATCAATCTATCTATCTTATAAGGCACCTTATAGAGATATTTGTGTTTATACTGTTAAATGCCTTGCAAAGGAGAACGGGTTTCATGACTCTGTTTTTAAGGATTTAAAAAAAAAACCCTTCCTCTTTTCATTCTTCATATCTTGTTTTTCTGTATATACATAATTATTTGAAAGACACAAGATCAATACCTAAAAGCAAACACATCATCCTCAGAAATAATGTTTCTCTGTGTCTTTAGCATCAAAATTTATATTAAGTGCTTAGCTCAGGAAAACATAGCTATCATTTGTTCAAGAGAAAATCTACAGAATTTAAGTTACACTCCAGCCAACATCCTATTTCAAATTCAAGTTGAAGGTCAGCATAATCCTTTGTATGGGAAGGTCTCAATGCTGCCTGGCAACTTATCTTATCAATTTACAAAGATTTAAAAAGTGGGATTTAGGCATATCAGGGTGACTAAACCAAGAATATCTTTTTCATTTTGAAGATTTTCAAAATAAGCTTTTTTTTGAGGTACTCCTCAAAGACCAAATTGCTTTTGGAATACTTCTGAGGAGACCAGAGACCTCTACTTTCTTTCATTTTAAAGAAACTAAGTGAAATGAAGCAGTGTAACACAACACAACAGAACTGTTGTTTTTCCCTGTATAGAATGCAATCTATTCTAAAAGGAACTATTTCTAGGTCAAACACAGACAGTTGTTTCAAGGTACCAAGTATGTTATTTTAAAGCTATTATAAACTGTGTACAAAACTGAATTTGAAAACTCAGAGCCTAAAAGCATTATCTGATGCATCTTAAGACTTCCAAAATGAAAACAACAACACAAATTGTTTACAGCAGGAGTCACAAGCAGATGTCTAGGTCCCAATTTTAGGATCTGACTTCATCTTTGTTCTTTGGGATGGGTTCGACAATAGTTTTTTCCCTACCTAAACTGGTTTGTGGATTTTCTGAACAGTTACTAGAGCAGTTCTTGCTATCCTCATCAGAGGAAACTTTCCTTTTAACTCCTGAATTTTCACAATCCAGTCTCTGACATTCACTGTCCTCACCTTTTTCAAGAGAAGCAGCATTCTCTTTTTTATCTAAGAGATTATTAATAGTTTTTTCTGGCTTAGAATTTGGACTTTCAGCACTGCTATCCTTTTCACTATTTCTTCGCTTGGCAATTTCATTACCAGCTTCCATTCCAGGCCGATCTGCATTTTCTTCATTTTCTTTCAATTCTGCTTTATTTTCTTCAGCTGCTTTGCTACTTAAATGAACAGCTGTGGGGTTATTCTTAGATTCCTTGGATTTTTTGTGCATAGAAGATTGACTATTGTGACCAGAGACAGGAGATGTAGGGGTCTTTGCTGCTTTGCTTCCTTCAGGCTTTTGTTTTTTAGCAGGTCCCCAAATAAAATGATCTGGAGGGGTGTAGTGTTGTTGAGCATACCGGAGGAGCTTCCTTCTTTCTCTTCTGTCTCTAATAGTATAAACAAAATATTCCAAAGCACTCTGCTTGATATTTGGAAGAGTGTTCTCTACAAGGGCCTCTTGAAGAATAAATTTTACAAGAGGGGATTTAAAATGTTCATATCCAAGCTCACCAAGGCTTTTCAGAATCCTGGTAATTCTTAAGTAGTTGTGCTGAGACCTGGAAGACATGAATAGCAATCAGGAAAAAAGCAGATGGAAAAAAACAGGGAATCAAAACTACTAGACAAGTTCTATGGACAAGTAAGAAGGTGAAATGTCATATTACCTTTAAATGGAAAAGGATCCTTGAAGGAAAGAATAAATTGGGACATTTTATTTAGACTAATATAAGAAATAACATGGAATAGTGAGTAGTAAGCTGGCCTCCAAGCCACCCTTTGACACAT